CGACGCCGTTGGGTTGAACGGGGGCAACAAGCAGAGGGTGAGGAAGTGAAGAGAGAATTTCAATTTCTTAATTTTTTTTTTTTTTACATTGATTCAGTTTTGAGAGACAGAGACAGAGCACAAGTAGGGGAGGGGCAGAGAGGGAGGGAGACACAGAATCTGAAGCAGGCTCCAGGCTCCGAGCCGTTAGCACAGAGCCTGACGCGGGGCTCGAACTCACAAACCGTGAGACCATGACCTGAGCTGAAGTCGGATGCTCAACCGACTGAGCCACCCAGGCGCCCCTGAGAATTTCTATTTCTTGCATTCCTCGGAGTTCAGGCAGAGGCTGGAGGGTCTTCTGTGGCTCCTGATTAAGAATATATCCTTGGGGGCGCCTGGGTGGCTCAGTGAAGCCATGGACTTCCGCTCGGGTCATGATCTCACCGTTCGTGGGGCTCTGGTGGTGTGGAGCCTCCTTGGGATTCTCTCTCCCCTCCTCTCTCTCTGCCCCTTCCCCACCACCCTCAAAATAAATAAACTTAAAAAAAAAAAAAGAATATATCCTTGAACGAAATGCTTCTACTTCATGAGACATGGTCGCTGGAAATATGTACTGAGGACTGTTTGAAGGGCACGTGGTACCCCCATGGCCGCCATCACTTTCATCCCCCTGGTGGGGCAGGCACTGACTGCTGTCACCGTATGTGTGCACGTTACTTGACTCCTTGGGTTGTCTGGGGTTTACATCCAGATCAAGACATTCCACTGGGAAGCTGCAGATCAGGATTGTATTGTCTCGGACCCCAGAGATGCGGACAAAACCCTCTCGAGGAGCCCTCCCCGCCACGGGAGCGTCTGCGTGGCGCCAGTCCAGAGTCTGTGTGGAAGGGAGGGCAGGGGAGAAGCCAGACCCGCAGGCAGGGGGCTTGGACCGGGGCGGGCCGGGGGGGTGGGGGGGGGGGGGGCTCTGCTGCTGCTCAGCCCATGCAGCGCCAGCGCCGTCGGCCGGAAGAAGGCTGGCCCAGAAGTAGGGCACGCGGAGTCTCCCAGTGGCCTTCGCCCAGTGGGGCAACGCGGTGGGCACGGAGCTGACTCCCAGAAGATCTTGGACTGGGTTTCCTGGAAGTTTACAAACTAGGGCCCCGCCCACGAATCCCGTCTCTTCGCTGCTCCTTCCGCTTCCCTGACGCCCCCCTTGCCCCCACGTGGAGGCAGCCTTCAGTGCCCGTGTCGGTCTTCTCCCCTCTCCCCTTCCGCCCTCTCATCTCCCCCGCTGTGTGAGCCGTGCAGGGAGGCATTAGTGATTGCAAGTCTCTTTCACGTGTCCTATCCACCTCTCCTCCTGTCTAGCAGGGACGAATTGATCCATTTATTTGTTAAACGACTACTTCCTGCGTGTACCTTGAGGCTATGTAGCTGCACACAGTAGGCACTTAGAGGTAGCCGGACGGAGCGAGAGCTCGGTAGTGTTTGGTTGTTAGAAATTGTTCTTTATTCTTCAGCAGCTTCTCACGGCGTGTCTGCCATCTGCCCCGTCCTGGGCTAAGCCCAGGGTCAGTGACGTGAGGCCCCCACTCTTGGGGAGCTGATGCTCTACAGGAGGAAATGGACACTCAGGGCCTGACTATAGACTAGTCAGGAACACAAGCAGTTGAACACAAGAGGCTGAGCAGAGGACAAAGGGGTCTGTATGGTTGTTGCAGTCTGGGAGGACTTCCTGGAGGAGCTGGTGCTTAATGGGATCTTGGAGGTCAGCTGGCAGGAAGGGCATTCCAGGCAGGTGGCTGGAGGTGTGGTGAAGAGGAACAACGGGGTCACCTATAGTCGAGTAATTCGGCACAAGCAGCGGGTCCTCTGTTTTTAGTGACTGTCAGCGGAGGGCGCTGCAGGGCGAGCTGGCCTTGGGCCACCCAGCTGGTTCACCTCCTCGCTCCTCAGCATCGTCTAGTCGGAGAGCAGTCTCCGGGCTTTGCCCCAGGGCCCAGCACCATCACCCAGCACATGCCTGGTGCCCACCTGTCTCAAGCAGTCGTGTTAAACCTGGGGCCACCCGAGGAAGAGTGGTGGAAACCACAGTTATTTAGCCCGGAGGCAGAAGACCCCGGGAGGTATGGCCGCTGTCTCTGGGAGGGGCCCTGGACAGTTAGAGCCCGGACCAACGGGCCAGGTATCTAGGGGACAGACACGTGCCGGACCTCAGACAAATGGCCCAGCTGTCCTCACGGCAGTGGGCTCCCTGTCACCACAGCCCATCTGGGGTCTGTGGACTGAGTGCCTGAGGGAGCCTTGGCTTGTCATTCTGACCAGCTGGCTGGGCCACCAAGCCTCGCGGAATCATTCTTTGCTATCTAAATTAGAGACCCAGCCTCTGACGTAAAGCAAAATGATCAAGAGTGAAGACTGAGATTAGACAGCTCGCTTCCCTCTTCTCTGAGCAGCCAGAAGCATCCATTTGCCAGAATCCGTCCATGTCTAGGCCTTTCCAGTTGGCCGAAGCGTGCCCTGACACAGACGCCTCCTCTTCCCTGTCCCCTCTTCTCAGATCCCAAGGGAGGGCCCCGATGGTGACTGAGGCGGGGGGATATTCCACTGGGCTGAGGCAGTGCCACACCCCTACCTGCTCCCCCCCTGCTCCAGACAGGGCACGGCCGCCCCTGTTGGCGGATGAGACTGAGATCTGAGAGGAGTCATTGGAGGTCGGGGCAGATGGTGGTAGAGCTGGGAACAAGAGCAGATCTCCCAACTCTTGGCCTGGTGGCCTTTGTGCACATGGTGCTGTCCCCTCATTTCTCCCCCACTCGCTTGGGCTCAGTGGGGGGCTGCAGGTACCAGAAACTAGACCCTTATTTCTCCCTGTAGAAGACTGGGCGTTCTCTGCTGCCTCCCCACTAGTGAAGCCTAGAACTAGGTCAACGCTACGGGCCTTTTCTCAGAGGCCACATCTGTCCCTCCGCAGCCTCAGACGCTGGTCCTTCTGCCCCCAGGATGAGCAAGCAGGACTCCTTGATGATGAGAGCTCCCTGCATTCCTCTGCCCCTCCCCCTCCCTCCCTGGGAGGAGGCCCCCAAGCCCACAGGGTAGGGGGTGGGAATAGGGGACTGACCCGTGAGCTAGAGGCTCACGTTCCCTGCCCCCTCTCTCTCTCCCTTGCTTTCTCACTGCATTAGCCCCCCCCCCCCGCCCCCAGTTAAAACTAGGGATTTGGGCTGGTCCCCGCAACCCTCAGGTTCTGTGACACGGAGCTTCCCCGTGCAGCCCGGCCCCTCTTGCTGTGCGGGGTGGTCCCAACCCCAGGCCGGATGCCAGAGGACACGCTAAGAGTCGCGGGGTCATGGGATGGGGCCTGGAGATCAGTGCTGGGGCAGGAGGGGCAGGGTCTGCCCCCCCCCCCAAAAAAAGACAACAAGAAAATAAAAAAAAAAAAAAATTAATTTTAGAAAAGAAAGGAAGGGATTAATAAAATAAAAAAAAAAACAAACCCAAAACATAAAACTTGTTTGTCTGCCAGGAAGATAAATATCTTTGCTGAAAGCCCTTGGCCCTCCTGCCAGTTGCAGTTTGCATAATGTCACTGAAGCCGTGGCTGCGTGCGGGTGCCCAGCTCACGTGGGTGTCATGCGCGATGCCCGTGGGCTCCCCCCCGCCCCCGCCGCCTAGCCCCCAGGATGTGGATGGAGTCAGGGGGCCTGAGCTAGAGGCACTGTCCTGACGCGTCATGCCCACGGCTTGGACATGCCCTGTTCCCGAAGGAGGGCTCCCCGTGCTCTCCGGACACCAGGCCAGCGCCCGCACTCAGATGCGCTGGGGCGGGGCCTGCCTGCTTCGAGGGCTTCTCAGGCCTCAGAGTCCTCTGCTGCCATAGCAGAACTGGGAACACCGCCGGCAGAAACCTGCACACGCCGGCACCATGTTGAGGGCCTTGCCTGTCGGCCACCTTAACCCCACACGACCCCGTGAGGAGGATCCCATGGGTATCTCCATCCCCATTTTGTAGAGGGGGAAACTGAGGCACAAAGCCATTCAGTGAACTGTCTGAAGCACACGGAAGGAGGGAGGTTGGTGTGGGGTTCGCACCCTCCACTGGCTCCAGAGCCCATGCTCTAAACTTGGCCCTGAGTATGTCCACCCAGGATGCTATCTGGGCCATTTGCACGTGGACAAGCTACCCCCTGGCCCCCTGCCCCCTCTGGCCTCCGTTCCTCATCCTTGTGTAGATAGACTGGTCCTTACTGGTTCTGGGCGTCTAGGAATCAACCAGCAGAGCCCCATTCTGTCAGCTGGCGATGGCTGTGGGCCCGGGCGGAGACCTTAGTGCAAATCTACTGGGGCGCACGCGTCAGCATCCTGGGGGTGCGGATGTCTGCCCGGCGTCCTCAGCAAATGCAGCACTTGCCAGGAGCAGGCAGGCCCCCGTGGGGACAGGAGGTGGGACCTGCGGAGGGCAGGGGTGTGCCCTCATGCTGGATTCCTGGTGGGGGGAGGGGTCTCCGCAGCTCCTGCCGAGCCCACCCAGGACCAGGCCAGGATAGGAGGGCCGTTCCTGTGTGCCTCTATGCCAGCCTCCTCCCTGCCCCTGCCCCGGGGGCCAGACACAGCTGCCGCATGAGCTTTCCCTTCCCTGGGAGTCAGGCACTGCAGTCAGCATCCTCAATGCCCAAAGCAGAATTCTGGCAAGGGTATCCTTCTATCCTTCTAGAAGGAAGAGCCCAGGGTCAGTGGGGGATGGGGATTAGAGATCCGGGAGAACAGATTGGCTGACCAATTTGATTGGTCATATTACATTGGTGCTGAAAGGAGTCCATTCTGAGATGATGGCAAAGAGGCTCAGAGGGGGAAAGGACTTGCCCAAGGTCACACAGCACGTTAATGGCAAGCCAGGATTAGAACCCAGGCCTCCTGACCTCGCATCCAGTGTGACTCTGAGAGGGAGGAAGGGCAGAGGATGGCTCTCCCTGGCCCTCCCTCTTCTCTTGCTTGGCTCAGCCACTGGTCTCTGACTTTGTTTCCTCCCCCCTCAGCCAAAGAGAGCTCCCTGGGCGAGCCAGAGTTACCGCCTGACTCTGACACGGTGGGGATGGACAGCAGCTACCTCGGTGTGAAGGAGGCTGGGGTGAAGGGGACCCAGGACCGGGCCAGCGCCGACCTCCCCAGCCCGCTGGATAAGGCCGACTCAGAGAGCAACAAGGGCAAGAAGCGGCGGAACCGAACCACCTTCACCAGCTACCAGCTGGAGGAGCTGGAAAAAGTCTTCCAGAAGACCCACTACCCCGATGTGTACGCACGGGAGCAGCTGGCCATGAGGACAGACCTCACCGAGGCCCGCGTGCAGGTCAGTGAGGGCTCCTGGGGAGGGCTGGGGTGGAGAGAGCAGGGCCTGCCCCCAGACCGGTGGCCAAAGCTGGGACCGCCTGACTGTCCCTCAACCGCAGCAGGGCTTTCTTTATCTCAGTCCAAGGAGAACCTGCCCCTCACACCCCTGCTTCGACCGGAGCAAAGCTGCTTTTATCCACCTGACTACCAGGCCTCTTGCTCTGGTGGGAGGGGGGGCAGAATAAGGGGGGCCCTCAGTGGAGGGGCAGGAAGCCGGTTAGCTGGGTCTCTGGGCTCTGGGTGGTGTGAGCGTCCAGGCCCTTTCACAAAGGAGAAGATGACTGGGCTCTGCTCTCGAAGGCCCGTCTCTTAGGATGGAAACGGGATAGACCCGCAGACCCCCACGGCATTCCAGCGGGCAGAAGCAGAGAACCGCCGGCCCTTTCTGCCAAGATGGCGGCCTTCTCCTCCGCCGTTCAGCTCCCAAGTCAGCGTACCTTCTCCGTGAAGCCTCCCAGACGACCGTGGTGAAAGCAGAGCCCTCGACCACCATCCCGCACCAACCCAACAGACCCAAACAACACGGCCAGCCCACCCCCGCCCGGCAGAACCCAGCACGGCTCAACACTACCCAACAGAACGCAACTAACACACCGTAACCCAATCCCACACACTCAATATGATACAACCCAAGTCATCCCCAACCAACACAACGCAACGCAACGCAAGCAAACCAGGTCTGGCGCACCGTGCCGGGTGGCTTAAACGGTTCTATCCGTTTGTCTCCTCCCATTCTGCTGTGGCTTCCTGAGGGCAGGTACTGTCTGCTCTTTCATCACTGTACCCCCGCCACCTAGAGAAGGCGGAGCTCAGCGCAACCAGGGCAAGAAAGAAAGACTTGTAGGTGGGTGGACCTCCTATCCTCCCTCCTTGCATGAAGTTACAGCAAGAACAAGACCAGAGAGGAAGTAAAAACCTCCGAGGACCCAAAACATGGGTGACGAAAGCCATGCACTAGCACTCAGGCTTCAGCTTCGCACACATAAGTGTTGTGCTCCATCAGCTTTTCCAACCCAGAGCCTGTTAGAAATGGCAAATAAGGTATCGTCAGGCAGCCGTTTTTCACCCACTCCAGTGGGCTGGGGAAGTCAACAGCTTGACAGTCTGGCTTCTTTCTTTCTTTCTTTCTTTCTTTCTTTCTTTCTTTCTTTCTTTCTTTCTTTCTTTCTCTCTCTCTCTCTCTCTCTCTCTCTCTCTCTTTCTTTCTTTCTTTTTTTAACGCAGGACAGCTCAGCTGGGGCGGGCTCCGCTCAGAAGTGGGTCGGGTGCCAGGACAGAGAGTCTTCCCTCCTCAGCAGGCCCCAAGGGCGCCCCCTGCTGCATTAGTTCACCAAAGAACCTTCCCCAGAGCGTTTCTTTATTTTTTATTTTTTATTTTTTAATTTTTTTTTACAAAGAGTTTATTGTCCAAGTTGGTTTCCATATAACACCCAGTGCTCATCCCCATAAGTGCCTTCCTCCATGCCCATCTCCCCCTTCCCCCACCACACCCATGAGTCCTCAGTTTGTTCTCAGCATTCAAGAGTCTCTCAAGGTTTGCCTCCCTCCTTCTCCCCCACTAATTCCCCCCTTCTTCTCCCCCACGGTCCTCCATTAAGTTCCTCCTGATCCTCCTATACGTGCAAACATATGGTAACTGTCCTTCTCTGCCTGACTTATTTCGCTCAGCATAACACCCTCAAGGTCCATCCATGTAGCTACACATGGCCAGATTTCATTGTTTCTCATTGCCATGTAGTATTCCATTGTATAGATAAACCACATCTTCTTGATCCATTTGTCCGTTGATGGACACTTAGGCTCCTTCCATGTTTTGGCTATTGTTGAGAGTGCCTAATCTTTGACAAAGCAGGAAAAAGTATCCAATGGAAAAAAGACAGCCTCTTTAACAGATGGTGCTGGGAGAACTGGACAGCAGCATGCAGAAGAATGAAACTAGATCATTTTCTCACACCATACACAAAAATAATCCCCAGACCGTTTCTAAGGCATCAGTAAAAGGTTCATCCGTCTCAGTCACGTTCTGTTTAATCAGGCAGAGCATCCGTAGCACAGTCCAGAAATGTTTTCGTCGAAAATAGATATTGTGAAAAAGGACCCGCAGTTACCATGAATAGGTAGCCATCCGGAGCCATCCGGAAACTGCGTGTACCGGAGGTGAAAAGTCAGGTTTCGAGCCACAGGTTCCAGGGGTTGGGCCACCCCTTTTGCTCCTGCCTGGTGCCTGGTGAATGGCTGAGGAAGGAAGGCCGGGCAGCGGCAGCTTTACTGTGATTCCAGAACCTTCACACACCATCTTATTTGAATCAGGATAAGCCACCTCATATGCCTCAGAGTGTGGACAGGAACCCCAGAATCTGGCTTCAGCTCCGCCGGTGAATTGGAAGGAACTGAAGGAGGCAGTGGAGAAGGGCGACATTCCTGTAGACGCCGTGTTGGTGTGGGATAGACCAGTTCGCTCTAGGGGTAGTATGTGTGTCTTCCTAACAAATAGATGGGAGCGCCCAGGACTAGAATCCACTTAGCATCGAAGGAAGGATGGCTCTTCTCGGACAAAACATGGAAGAGACACTGGGGCACGTAGAACATTTTTCAGGTACTGTGATAGAGCTAAACTAGAGCGTTCCCTCTGCACATGTGTGTGCGTACACACACACACACACACACACACACACACAATTTATGCCTATTTCCAAAACGCGGTTGAGGCAGCTTACAATGAATGACTTATTATTTTCATCTAAGAACAAGAACAGTGTCATGAAATAGGAAGGTAATTATGTCAGACACCTAGGCTAAGAATCATAGTTGCCACGGAGCAGAAATTTCAACCCTGAGCTTCCCGGCAGTCAAGGCAGAAAGGGAAACCCCTAAGTGTTGCGTGTCTTATCATCTGAGAGGATGATCGTAGGAATACGGAATGTTAGTGCTGGAAAGGATCATCTGGAAAGGTCCTCAAGTGTGATAATAAGGAAGAGGAGGCCCACTTGTGATCAGGTGACTCAGTGGCAGAATCCAGGACTCCCGAGTTCCAGCCCGGTATTTCTTTTGGTTTAGCTTGCTGTGCCAGGACACGGGCCTTATTGTTCTGAGACTTTTCTTTGTATGAAGGCAGCAGGGTGGGTGGGACCTTCATGTGCGTCAGACCTCTGGATTGAGCCTGGCAGTGCCCCCAGGTTTGGGGGGAGTGGCGCGGGAGCCCCCTGCCTGCCTCTACCCAGTTTGCTCTGGGCCCATACTCAGCTGGGGGGAAGCCAGGTGCCTGGCGCAGTGTGGCGTTGGGGACAGGGAGGAGGCAGGGGGCTCCGAGATGGACCTTTCCTGGGAAGAAGCTCGGGGTTTGGCCTTGCTCCAGGGGCCTGTGGGGGCCTCTCTCTGCTGTCTGGGATTCCGATCTCCACAGCTGGTGTCTGAAGACAATAAGACAGAGGCCTCTCCGCCCTGGGCCACCCCGCCCTGGCCCCAGATGGGCTGCGGTTAGCGAGGCCCCCGCCAACACGGTTGGCTCCTTGGGGAGATGCCTGTGCTGAGCAGGCCCGGGCCGGGGTGGGCCAGGAGTGGGGTGGTCCTGGGGCGCGACACGCAGGCTGGGAGGCTGGACCTCATGGTCCCCTCTCCCCCTCAGGGTTGTCCTGTGGAGACAGGCTGGGGCCCCCGAGCCCTGAGGCACAGAGCATCTGTGGGGAGTTCTTAGAACTCCAGGCTCCAGGGCTCAGAAATGGAAGGACAGACGGACCTAATCTCCAGGCCCTCCACCGTGAGCTCTGGGGGTGGGGGGTGGGGAGGAGGGCCTGCGAGGCCAGCCCGCCACCACCCAGCTGATGCACCCGAGAGGCTGACTTAGCTCGAGGGCTCCCGCCTTGCCCAGAACAGGGCCCGGGGCTGCAGGCTGCGGAGGAGGGGGTGGGCAGTGCCGCTGCCCCGCAGCCTGGCCTCTCCTCTTGGTCTTTAACCCTCCGGTAAATCCCCGGCCTGGCCCTCCTCCACTCCGCTATCTCCGCGGTACTCCCCGCTCCCCCCCCACTGCTCCGCTGTCCTCCCAGATAACCCCAGCACCCCCACCTGGCACCCCCACCGTGCTTTCCAGCCCCCACATTCCATCGCCCCCCGCTGTGCTCCTCCTCCCACTTCTTGGACCCGGCCACCCCCTTCCAGTGCAACAGCTCCCCCCGGCCCCCCCCAGCCCATCCAGAGCCTGCATGACACCTTCACCTGCCACTCCCACCCGGGGGCTCCAGGGAACCCCCTCCCCGCCCTGCCCCACAGTGGCGGCTGCAGACAGTTTCCCTTACCTTCTCCCCACCCCCAAAAGAAAGAATGGAGCCATATATCTTGATGCCTGCAGTGGGCTTCTCCCCTCCCCCTGACTTCCCCCACAGAAAACCCTGGGAGGCTGAGGAAGGAGCGGAAAGACTGAGCTAAGCCTGCAGGAAATTAAACATGAAATGAAAACAACTTCTCTGATTCATTCTCTCATCCTGCCCCCCAGCCCCCCATTCCAGGCCGCTGATAAAGGGGGATCCCGTTTCAGCAGCACAGAGAGGAGACCCGATCCACCCTTGGCTCTCAGCGGGCGGCCTGGGCCCGGACCCCAGGAGCCCCTGGAGGAAAAGGGGCCCAGGAGGCTGCGGGGCAGGGGCTGAGTGCTTCTCCTAAAGCAGAGTCAAGACAGGGAAGAAGCGCTCTGAAAGCGTTGCCGGCCAGTGTGTGTGTGTGTGTGTGTGTGTGTGTGTGTGTGTGTGTGTGTGTGGAGAGAGAGAGAGACTTGTGCACACGTGTATCCTTGGGGTTAGGGTGGGTAAACTGAGGTACATCCCTGAACTCCCTCCCTGCCCCCACCCTCCTCACACTAACATGACACGCACACTCACACACACACACACCAGGTTTTTGTCCTCTTTCCTTTAGCGAAAGACAGCAAGAAAGGTCTGGAGCTATCAGTAAACAAGTGTGAAGTATCTTAAAAACTATGGCAGCATTTCTCATCTGTCTCACCCGCTGCTCTGTGAGGCACAACCCTTGTGAGGATGTCAGTCCAGATATTGGTCCCATTTTCCAGATAGAGAAACTGAGGCCAGTGGCAATGCCAGAATGGCTAGAAGCCAGCGCAGGCTGGGCAGACTCCGTGCTACCCTGCGGGGAGCCCTCAGGCCCTGCTCCTTCTCCCTCTTCCCAGGATGCCGGCGCTGTCAGGAAGGCCGCCAGTGGGGTGCTGTTGGGGTGTGCCCTCCTGCGCCTGCGTACAGACTGGCCGGTGCACCTCCAGCCGACAGGAGCCTCCCTCTGGGGTCTCCGAGCTCCGCCTTGGGCGGCTCAGCCTGAAGCCATTTCTGGAAGCTGATCCATCCCCTCTTCACACCTGTCTCTGCCTCAGATCTCAGGTCATGGGCAGGAGTCACAGGGCCCAAGTCCAGCTCTTGCCCGTGAACTTTGGGAAGTTTGTCTGCCTGCCGGAAACGTTCCTGCAAAGGAAATGGCCCCAATGGCCCCACCCACCCATCAGAGACCACAGCTCACACACCTGGCTCAGAGGCCACCCTCCCCACCACGTCCCCACTCAAGCCAATGTCCCACCCGCCCCTGCTCAGTGACAGCTGGCCCTTCACTCGTCCCCAGAGTCAGGCCACCCTCCACGTAAGACCTCACAGTGACCACTTCTACTGACCCCACACCGACCAAGAACAAACCGCTCTGCTTGGCAATGAGGCCCGCCACCATGGGACCTGTGTCCACGGTCCTTTCTGTCCCACCACCCCCCAGCTGGGCAGCGTGGCCTCCTGGGGTCCCCTGAAGATGCCCCGATGTTTCTGCACTCAGGCCCAGCCCCAGCCCGCCCCTCCGTGATGCAGGTCAGGCCACGCGGTGCTGGGGTTGGTTAGATGACCGGGTGCAGTGGCCGGTGGCGAGTTGCATGTGAGTGACAAGTGCCCGCTCTGGCTTCTGCAGCTTGGAAAAACGCAGTCAGGCCCAAGACCACGCCGTGGTTAGTTGGGGGTACGCTGCCTTCCCGACTGTCAGCACTGATCACTCTAGATTGTAAGCCTTGAGGCTGAAGACTGAGCCCGGGGGCCCTGGCCGTGCACTGTGACGGGTGGGGGCTTGAGGGCCCGGCTTACACTGCCTGACCCCGTGTGGCAACTGCTTTGTCCTGTAGGTCTGGTTCCAGAACCGAAGGGCCAAGTGGAGGAAGAGAGAGCGTTTTGGGCAGATGCAGCAGGTTCGAACCCACTTCTCCACCGCCTATGAGCTGCCCCTCCTCACCCGAGCTGAGAATTACGCCCAGGTAAGCCCCTGCCTCAAGCTGCCGGCTCCAGCTCCCCAGGTCCCTCGGGCTCTGGGAATGGGCACTTCCGAGGAGGGCTCGGGTCCCCTGAGATGGGACGCATGAGGCCCGGTCCGGGTGTGTGCCTGTCCATGCCTGACTGCGGGAGCCCCAAGGCCGTTTCTGCCCAATGTTAAGTGCTGGCCCAGGCTCGGGGACGTTAGGGAGGGGCGGGTTGTGATAGACGGGGCGGCTTTCCCCTCTGCCACTTTGCCGCTCTTGCTGTGGGCATCAGAGCCAGGGCAGGCTGCAGACCAGGGCCCCCAGGCCAGCAGGAGCCCCTCGGACTGTTTCCTCGAAGAGGGTGTGAGGCAAGGCCGTCGTGCATGCGGAAGTCCAAGTCCGCAGGTGGGCTGCCCTCTGGCCCCAAACCTTTCTCACTTCAGACAAGCCACAAGCTCTCCGAGCCTTGGTTTCTTTTCTTTTCTTTCTTTGTTTTTAATGTTTTTTATTTATGTCTGAGAGAGAGAGACAATATGAACAGGGGAGGGTCAGAGAGAGAGGGAGACACAGAATCTGAAACAGGCTCCAGGCTCTGAACTAGCTGTCAGCACAGAGCCCCATGAGGGGCCTGAGCCCACAAACTGTGAGATCGTCGTGACCTGAGCTGAAGTCAGACGCTCAACTGACTGAGTCACCCAGGTGCCCCTGAGCCTTGCTTTCTTCACCCGAAACTGGACCTGATAAAAGCACCCACCCTGGCTCGTCCGTGAGGTTGTTGAAAGGCAGAAATCAGACAAGTCCTTAGGGGAATAAACAGCCGGGTAAAGGGAGCTCTGCAGGCCTCGGCTCTCCCAGGCGACTGTCCCAACCTCCTCTCCGTCCCGTCCCGTCCTGTCCCGTCTGTCAGCCGGTCCCCATTCTAGTGACACTGGAGTCTTCAGTGGGTGTGAAGGGGTGAGAAGAGTGAGGAATGGCTGGCACCCAGAGCTGAGCTGTCTCTCTGGCTGAGTCCCCTCCTCACACCCCTCGGTCTGTCTGGTGGAGGTGACCGCTCCCTCCCCTCGGGTCCCTTAATGGTGGTGGCAGCGTGGCCTCTGCCTTCAGCTCTGGGCCTGCCCCAGCGGGCACGGAGTCAGGCCTTCTGTCTCCTTGAAGACTGTCTGTCCCAGGGCCCTGCTGTCCCACAGCCGCTGGGCACCCCTCCTGGACCAGCTCTGTCCCTCCCCCGCAGGATTCAAGTGCGGGGGACAGGGGTCAGGCCTGGGGTGAGGCTGGGGAACGTGGGGTGTCACACGTGTGTCCGGGCACACACACACCCCTATTTTCAGCCCCTGCTGCATGCTTTCATCTCTCCCCTCCCTCCGTCCCGGGAGGATGGGCCTCTGGCCTGGCTCCTGGGCCTGCCTCTCTGCTGCCTGAGCTCCCTGCTGGAGGGAGGGGGCGACCAGCCCAGGGCGGGCTCGTCTCTCCCACCCTCCCACCTGCAGCACCACATCTCACACGCTGGCCTCTTGACCGAGGGGAGGGGAAAGGCCCCGATTCCTCGTCACCCAACCAGGAGGAATGTGGTCAGGCCCCTCTAGTTGCCATGGCAATGCCCCTGGGACGTGGGGGCAGAGCTCCCTCCTCTCTTGGCCTTGGAATCCCTTCCCTGCGTGCACTACAAGCACGGGTGGGGGGAGGGGCGGACAGCAGGAGTTGCCTGAGGGCCACCGGGAGTCCCAGGCGCGTGGAGGGGAGGTCGCCTTCTCCCCTGGTCCTGCTCGCCCTGCCCGTCCACAGCACAGGTCTGCCTCCAGTCCACCCAACCAGCTGCCGAGCACCCCTCTCTCTGTCTGTCTGTCTCTCTCTCTCACACAGACACACACACGTGCATGCGCACGCACGCGCATCCTGGCATGTGGGCACCCAGTCTGGCTCCATCCATCCCCTCATGCGCACTCGTGGCCTTCTGGGGCGCCCCCTTCCATCCTACGTCCCGCAGCCCCGGGGACACTGCCCTTGCACCCTTCACCACTGGTCTCGCCATGAGGGAGACTGGGCCCCACTGCCTGGCCCTGCCCCCTCCACACCACAGCCCGCACGCCCACAGCCCGTGTCCCCAGCGCCAGAGCTCTCTGAGCTGCTCAGGAACCTGGGACGCCCCAGGCCTGACGTGGAGCTGGCCAGGGCGGGGAGGGGGGCCCTCAGCTGGCTGGCTGTGCCCAGAAGGCAGCCCTGTTACTGGGCCCTTGATGAGGTCTGAAGTTCAGTCCTTGGAACAGAATTTCTCTCTGCTGGGAACAGAGGAGCCCAAGCATAACACCCGAACCCTCCGGGGTCTGGATGCCGTAAAGGTTTTGAGAGGCTCCCGGGTGAACACTCCAGGATGATTTCATCCTAAAGATGGACCCATAAGCGGGGAGAGGTCATCTGGGGGTAGCCCCTTGCGTACCCGCCACCCGCACCCCTGCCCCGGACAAGCCTGCGACATCTCTCCCTTCCGTCTCCCCAGATTCAGAACCCATCCTGGATCGGCAACAACGGGGCTGCGTCACCAGTGCCAGCCTGCGTGGTCCCCTGCGACCCCGTGCCTGCCTGCATGTCCCCTCACACCCACCCCCCTGGCTCTGGGGCCAGCGGCGTCACCGACTTCCTGAGCGTCTCTGGGGCCGGCAGTCATGTGGGCCAGACACACATGAGTGGCCTGTTTGGAGCAGCGGGGCTCAGCCCAGGCCTCAACGGCTACGAGCTCAACGGAGAGCCGGACCGCAAGACCTCGAGCATCGCGGCCCTCCGCATGAAGGCCAAGGAGCACAGTGCGGCCATCTCCTGGGCCACATGACAGGGCACCTCTCAGCCCATCCCCATGCCCTCCCCCACCTCGGGGCACTGGCCACGCCCATGCTTTCCAGGCCCCCAGCCTCCCGTTTGACTTTCCTCCTAGGAACCTGGCCTGGGCCAGGGGCCTGGCCCTCAGCACTTTCAGCCGCCCCAAGTGTGAGGCCCCATGGACCGCTGCGGGGAGGGGGGGGGCCAGGTCCCGCCTTCCCTGGCACTGAGGCCGAGACCCCTGCTCCTGGCCAGAGGCAGTGGCGGAAGCCAGGTGGCCGAGTTTTGCAGCTTTGCATCCATTATAAGCTGAAGACCCTCTCTCCCCGCCCCTGCTCCTCTGCCCTGCCCGGTTTGGGGGCCAAGGATAGATTCCCATCCAGACCGAGCAGCGGCCACGTGCAGTCATGTCCGTCCTTCCCTCTGCTGTGTGGTCCCCTGGTCACCAGGCCAGTGACCGTGTCTGGAGAACAGGCCGCCCTGCAGAGTTGGCTTCCCGCCCTCCCATCTCCTTTCCTCCTCCCAAAGCCTGTGGAATCCGACCTCCTGGGCCCAACGCACCGCCTCGCCTTCACCCACCTGGCTGTCCCCTGTGCTGGCCCCACCTGGAGGGGTGGACGGAACAGGAGAGGCGCCCGAGTGGAAGAATCCTGCTGTCATCCAGCGACGCTGGCATCTAGGACAGTCCCTGAGGGGGCACGTTCCAGCCCCCTCGCTCCCGGAGACTGTGGATCTAGGTGAACACCGCAGGGGCGGACACAGGCCACCCACGATGCCCACAGTGCTGGAGGAAGAAGAAAAGCTTCTAGGGAGAGGAAGAGCTGCGGGGAGGTGTGCGGGAGGGGACAGGGTGCCTGTTACAGTGCGAACGTCTGCGCAGCTTCGTGCTGCAGCCAGCCAGGCCCCTGCAGGGGGACCTGGGGACGCTTGTCCCCTCCCCGCCATTCTGGCCTCTGGCCAGGGCTGCTGAGCAGTGCCCGGCATGGAAGGATGTCCCCTCGGAACACAGAAGTTAGGGCCTTGGAGCCTTGCTGGCAGGGTGGTCGAGAGCAGTGTGCGGAATTTGCTAACGGACGTGTGTTCGCACTCGGCCTCTCAGCCTTTACACCGCTTCAGACTGCCTGTCCCTCCCCGGCCATCCCTGGAGCAGCACCAGACCTGCCCAGAACCTTCCGCAGGGGGCCGGGGGGAGAGGGTGTGCTCTGAGTTCTTAGCCTGCTCTCGCACTTCTCCCCTAGGGCATTAGGAATCTCAGCCCGTCTCTCCAGCCTCTAGAGGGGCTGTTGCGCTAAGATCCCCTGAGTCACTTGCTCTGTCCCAGTTGTGGGGGGCAGGGTGCCCCCCAGAAGCAGGTTTCCCTGCTTGTGGAAGGAGCTTCCTTCTGTGGAAGACCTCGCGTCTGCCTGACTGGAGACTCGCAGCTCGAGTTTTGGCATCAGGTCCCAGCCATCACCGAAGCCTGTGGTGCACAGTACCCGTCCTCTGAGGCGCCTCCGGCAGGCAGCCCCTGGGGAGAAGCCCCCCCCCAACTTTTCCCACCTCTCCCTTGGTCCTGTCGGTGGGGACGGCCAAGTCCAGCGGGCTCGGGGGACCTACACGCAGGACAGCCTCTCGGCTTCGGTGGAGGGCGAGAGCCTCTGGAGGTTTAGAAGGAATCACAGTGCCCACCTCTGCCTCGTGTTCCCCGCTCCCTGGAGACAGGACTGGGAAGGACCTGGCTTTGGCTCCCTTCGTCAGAGTCAGACCTCTCTGCCAACCGTAGCTCTAATATCTGACCTTCCACGAGTGACAAGCACACTGGACATTGAGTGAGATGTTCTCCCGGGCTCGGCTTTAAATGTTTCCTATATCTGAGGGTCTGGGCGTGACTCTTAGGAAGCCTTTTCCGGTGCTGAGGTTCCCTGAGATTACTCGGGCTCCCAAAAGCTAGGAAGGGAAAGGGAGAGGCACGTAAGGCTGGGGATAGTTCCCTGTCTTCCCCTCAAGGGCTCTGGTGGCTGCGAGGGACATGGGAGGAGCCCTTGCCGTCGGTCCGTCCTCACCCAGGAGGGAATCGACATCAGAGATGAAGAACCAGGAGAACACCAGGGGGGCGGGGTGCTTTAGGTGAATCCTTCTGGATTCAATTCCTCTATCTGACTGCTGGGTGACACCTCAGTCAGACAAATTTCAACCAAAAAGCCTGAGAAGAGAAAACCTCTAAGGGAGGAAGGCTCTGTGGCTCTGGCTGTCCTTCCCACCAGCACAGCCAAGTATTTATGAGCCTTGGGTGCGAAATGGGCCTGTGCATCTCCCCACAGGGAGGTCTCCCCACCTGCCCTGAGGCCTCCCTTCACCGTGTCCCGGCTCCCCAGGCTGGCCCAACGCTCTGAGAATCGTAGAACCGTAGAGCTGGAGGGACTTAAAAACCTTCTACTTCGTGCAGTCCCTTCACCAGGGAGATGAGAGGGTCCCAGCCCCGGGGACGGGGGGGCGGGGGGAAGTGACTGCCCCGAGGAGCAGGCATCACGGGTGGCCTTAGCCCGCATCGGGTGGCGGTGCCTCACGCGGCATCTCCGCTCTCTGCTGGAGGTCCTTCGTCTCCTCGGCCTACCCTCTGGTTCCTTCCCAGTGGGTGGCGAGGCCCAGGCCTTCGAGGGCTGGAGGCATCTCCGCGGCAGCTCCCGCGAGGGCCCAGCAAGCGTGGGTGACGCACCAGGGCTGGCTGGCCTCCTCGGGGGCGAGGTGTCAGGAGGGCGGGCGGAGAGGGGAGCCAGCCTGCTCTGTGGGTCACCGCTAAGTGAATAAGCTACCAGAGGTGAGGATTCCCTTTGGCTACCTGCCTAAGATCTCAGCAGAGATGAGGACGCAGCCCTGCGGGAGCGAGCGGCCCACTGGGCCAGCCTCCTCAACACTGAGAGCCTCCGATCCCCGCCGGGAACACGGCCGGGTGGCCCGGGCTTGACACAAAGGTGCTGCTACCACCCTCAGATGCCCTCACACTCCCAGGGCCTGGGAGGAGAGGGCTCTGGGGACACACAGAGAGGCTTGTCCCCAGGTCTTCAACGGCACGTGGAGGACACGGGCTTTGTAACTTTTCTTGAATCCTTTCAACTATACTTGATTCTCGGCTCTCACTACCGCGCCTCCAGCTCTGGGAAGCACGGTGGCCAGGTGAGTTCAGAGACACTGCGATCGTGAGGTGGGTCCCCAGCACACACCGCAATGGCCACACGGGGCCCAGCCCCGGAGCCCCGCCTGCCCTCTCTTTGGCTGGGCAGACAAGAGGAGTTTTTCCATGAAAGTTGCCGTGTATCTTGCTTCCGCAGCCGTCCTCTCTCTGGGCCGGGGTGTGGGGAGACCCAACTCGTAGGACACACCCTGGGGCTTCTGGTCGGCTTGATGGCCCTGTCAGGTGCAAAGGCAAGTAAGACAAGCTTGGGGGAGGATGGTTGGCAAATTGGCTCCCCCCCACCCCCAGGATAATAACCCACGGCCATAAAAGAGAAAGCGGAGAAGACAAGAACCTACTTCCAAACCACAACCCGACTTCACCTCACCAAGGATGCTGTAGGGACAAGAGGCATTCTGGTGACCCAGACATTACCTAATCTTGCCCTCCCCTCCCCCCCTTCACGTACATACATAGAGCTAGGCCTTTATACTACTGATTTTGAAGGACAGTTTTCAATGCCTAATAGTCTGTTTGGATGTGCAGTGGCTGAAAAGAGCTGAGTGCTAGGAACGTGCGTGAACCTCAGCTAACACTGACTTTTCTCATTGTAAGATATTTTTAACCCTGTATAAACGCAACTTTTTCCTTTAGCTTAATGGCCTGGGGTGGAATATTAAAAATATATATTAAAAATACATAAAAATTTCAGAAAAAAAATGTATAAAAAAATGAGGTCAGTTCCATAAAGTTTTACTGCCTACTACCACCATGTAACGACATTATAGCAAAATATTAAAAGAATCCTTCTTGCCTTTTAAAGTAAGTTATTGCACTTACATCTTCTTTGGGAGGGGAGGAATATTTGATGAGAAGGGGACCTCGGGCCCAGGCCGGGGGCCACGTGGAGAGCGGAAGCAAAGGGACACTCCGGGGCACCCGATGCCCGGCACTGCCCCAAACTGTCTTGTTTGCTTGGTGTTTGCAATAAACTCCTTCTCCTTCCTCCTTTCAACTGGAACCTGTCTGTTTTGTTCCTGACTTGTGACAGATGAAATGTGATCAGAGGGGCCTCTGAAATCTCACATTAATTGAAGTCGGCAAAAAATACTAACAGTGCCCTTTTGAACTGCTGACACAGTACAGAATGGATTACCCGGGCTAGATTAACAACAGGTGGCCGGCCGGGGCTCCTGCAACAGAGAAGGGGTGCATGGCCCGCCAGGGTCCGGGACAGCCCCCTTTCCTCCCAGAGGACCTTCCCTGCACGGCAGGCAACCTGGGGGGAAGAAGAAGGCAGTGGGTGAGGGGACCAGAGTCTGCCCCTCAGGCAGCAGAAAGGGTCCCAGTGCATCTTGGGTACACTCGGCACTGCCCGTGCCCGGAGGTCTTCAGAGCGGCCCAGCCAGCCCATTGGTCACAGAGGGGCCAGTCTGCGTTTCCAGGGGCATCCCGAAGGCAGAGAGGGCAAGGACGTGGAGGGCCGGGGCAGCGAGGCCTGGCCGTGTGGCACAGAGCGTGAGGCAGGCCCCGTCCCAGCTCTGCTTCTCGGTGGCTGAGGGAACCGAGGCCTGACTGGATGACTTTTGAGGCAAGGCTCTACAAGCAAATTAGGAAGCAGGGAGGGCCCAGGTCCTGCTACAGAATAGGTACTTCCCTGCTTTCCGACATGAAGGTGACTTGAGGCAGGGCTGCTGTGTGCAGGGGGGACTCAGCTCTCACATCATCATGGCTCACAAGCCTATCCCCCGGTGCACCTGAGCGGCTCAATTGGTTGAGCACCCGACTCTTGATTTCGGCCCAGGTCATGATCCCAGGGTCGTGGGATGGAGTCCCGCATTGGACTCCGCGTGGAGCCTGCT